CCGATGCTATTCCCATCTTTCAGTTTTTCTGTCTTGTGCTGTGTTGTTTTTGCTCTGACTACTGCCAAAATAGGAGGTCAAAGCAAAAGCTGTTTTCCAACAATTGAGTGTTGTAGCCTCTCCCAGATGTCAGATGAGGAGTGTGATAGTCTCACTGGCTCATGTGTGCAGGTGAGAGTCTTTCTGACCATGGAGCAGACAAACAGAGATGGACCGATGAGCCCTTTACTGGGTCATCCTCATCCTGGGAATGTGGCCTCTGATTCTTGGCACTTCCTCCAAGCTCCGCTGGTTTCATCTACATAAATGACTACATTATTATTATTTTTTTCTTGGCCCATTAGATCAGCTAGGGTTAGGTTAGGTTGCAAGTGACAGAAAACAGAATTTTACTTTTCTCTTGCATGAAATGAAATCTAAAGAAGGACAGGGCAGATGGATACGGAGACTCCTGGGTCGTCTTCTATCAAGACATTCCACTGTCTTCAACCCCTGGCCTCCACCTCTAATGCAAGATAATGACTTGATTTTCCACCATCATATCCTCTTTTCCACAGGGACCAAAGAGAATTTGAGAAATAATATACGTCCTCTTTTCAATGAGGACTTCCTGGAAATGGCCCACACCAATGTCACTTAGATTTAATTTGCCAGAACTTCTCCACACAGCTATACCTATCATAAGGAAGATGGTAAAAGTAGTTTTTATTATGGGTAACCATATGCCCTGCTGAAACACTGGGCTTCTTTTTTAAGATACAGGGGAATTTGGGGAGAGCATGAATGCTTTTTATCACATCCATATTGATGGGGAGAGTGTGTTTGCTGCAGTAACATCCCATGAGCCCTGGTTGAAGATATTTGTGGTTATTTTACCATCAACTGGATTACAGAGTCATGTCCAACAATCATGTCATCATGTTTATTTTCACCTACCTTAGGTTTTGGAAGAATCACAACAAAGGTCCAAGGGCTGTGATTTCTTTATTAGTTCTGGTTTGGGTGAAGAGAATAGGATGTCTAATTCTGTCTCTACTAACAGGAATCATGTCCTGCTCATCTTAGCCTCTCTTTTATCTTGACTATTCCTTCATCCAAGGATGCACTCATTGCTGTAGCATCAGGGTTACGGTCCTCATGAACATCACAGATTGAGGTTAGCACCATTAAGGAAATAAATGGGATGAAGTTTGCAAAGAGGCCCCGAGCCAGGGAGCAAGCCTGTTTAAATGTCAGGTAAACTAGGAAGGCAGCTTTGAGGGAAGAATAGCTGACTTGCAGACTCAAGGACGAGAGAAGGTCACCGAGAGAAGCAAGGAGAGAATTGCAGTAGGGCGGACTGGCATGTGCCGAAGCTTGGAAGGCAGAACGTTTGGTATGTTCAAGAGACGAGGGGTGGTCAGTGTCCCTTTGTGACAAGGGTCAGAGGGGAGAGGAACGCCCCACACAAAGATGGTGCTTAGGTTTTGCTCGGCATTACAGTCAGCCTTTCTACTTCTTCGGTGATTTCATTTGAAATCCGTTTTTATAAAGTTCCTGGTCACCCCATTTATTCCTGGAATGATCCCATCGTGGAGTGTACATGCTGAAACTATTATTCTAGCATGGAATGGTAGGGAGAAGGATGTTTGTGTTTTTAGGTGAAGGTACTGAAAGAGAGGCTTTGATGAAGGCATTCAGTTGGTTGGAGAAAAGTAACAAACTTATTTGGAGATACATTTCTGGAATTGCCTGATTTGCATTGAGCAATACAGCCTCCAGTTACGAAACCGTTTCCCTCAATTTTTTTCTCCCAATCTGTCTTTCACTCTGACAGATGTGGCTTATCTTCTGCCTAATTCAACAAGAACTAGTCGTGTCCCACTCCCCACCCCCAACCCCCGCCCGCCTCTCTGCTTCAGTGGAGCTTGGAGCTTGTACTAGTATCTACTTGTTTCCTAGTTGGAATGCTAGTCACTCCATTTGTTTTTATAATTTGGGAAATTTTCTTTTTGTTTGTAAATTTGTCATTATCTCCCACAAATCTCCCTGCTATGGTTTGGTAAATCTCTTGGTATCTTCACTTTGAAAGCACCACTCCATCTGCCAGCTAGATACTTTCATCCCAAAATGCCATTCCAGAGGAGAAAGTTGGAACTGTAAGGATTGGCAACAATGATCGCCAGCAGCAACATCTACTATTATGGGATTAATAGGAATTAAATCTACTTGAGCCATGAAGTGAGCCAGCACCTTACTTGCAAGTGAGGATAAGGTTTTAAAAAATAGGATTTAAAGCAGGACAATTGTCCTCGCTATTTTTGACCTTTTTTTCTGACTGGTGGTAAGTTTGCATTGGGAGCTCAATAACTGTACTCTCATATAGTCTTGAAACTTACAGTTACCCTACTTCTGCAAGTGCGCACACATTGCTTTCTGATCCCCTTCTTTTAAAATGGAATTTGTTTTGCTTTTCAGTGTTTTCTTGGATGCTCCATGCTGATTACTCTTTGTCCAATTTGCAGCTTTCTGTTAAATGAAGGGAGAAAAGCTTGAAGTCCAAGGAAGTAGGCAATATTTTCCGTACCACACTATATCTTCTGCATGACATTAGCTTGACTTTCTCCCAACCAAGATGCACTATTTAGGCAGTCAGTTCTAATGTCATTGAAGTGGTAGTTGTCTGTAAATAGTCATTGGACTATACTTGTTGTAAACCTGTCAAATAGTCTTAAGATGAAATTCAAACCCCCCCAATGTTCCACAAGACCCTGAGTGATTAGATGGCGTTCAGACCTGTGTAACCATGTCTCTCACTGGTTACCTTCTTGCTCCTTGACTTCTTCAGCTACACAGGCCTTCTCGAATGTTCTCATACATGCCATGCTCTATTCTGCCTCAGGACCTTTTCATGTGCTGTCACCACTGCTGGGACACACTTCCTTTTCCACCTCTTCAGTGATTTTGATTACTAGATAGACACACATTAGTGGGGTGGCCTTTCTGACCTGTAAGTACCAGGCCCTTTCTTCTGTAACAGAACATTTTTTTTCTTATTATGGCACTGATACTTTTAGTTATTTGGTTAGTTTATTTGTCCAATTTGTCTCTCTCAGGGGGTATAGCTTGAGGGTAGAGCATTTGACTGCAATTTGTCTCTCTCAAGGACCTTATTTTCCTTGATTTATACTGAGTCCCTAGCATCCAGCAGCTTCCTTAATGTGTAGTAAATATTCAATAAGATTTTTTAGGTAGTTGAATAAAAGAATTCTGAGCTTTGTGTGGGGAGACCAGCTCTGATTGAACATGAATCTAGGGATGAGAATCAATACACAACATCTCACCTTGTCTTACCCTTCACTTTATATCATTCAGTCTCATATATTGCAAGTGAATTATGGATTAATGGTTCAAAGATGCCTCTCATTCAGTTTTTTCCTGTGACTCATTCAACAAACATACATGAAGGAAGTACTTGGGGCCTTGGGCTAGGTGTCAGACACCAGGAAACCCAATATGAACCTTGTGTCATTTCCACATTCATGTTTGTCTGGGTATCCTATTATCTGTATGTCTCCATTTGTCTTCACATTTCGCATAGTTCAAAATATTTATTACTCAAAAGGAAGGATTTAGTTTTAATGGTTCATTTAAAGACCTGGAGGTTCTATACATCAGTGCTTCCCAAGACTATTTTGTGTGGGGTATGTATGTCAACCATCAAGTTTGCTTTGGTGCACATCGAGTGAGAGAAGGAGCTTTTCTTTTTATGGTCCTTCCACTCCTTTCCTTGGACTCCTTGCCTGAGCTTCATCAAGCTAACTGCCTGGCATTCTTCAGATCCCTTTCCTTCTCTCTTCTTTCTCTCCCATTCTTCCTGATCCCTCTCTTCCCGTCTCTTTGTTGTGCTGTTGTATATTCTTGGAACACGCTTGCCACTTTTCACTGCACACAGATTTAGAACTCATGTTGTGAGTCCCTGCTAGATTGATTATTCCTTACAAAACACTCTGGGTTCTCTCCTTGTATTTCTCACTGAGGGAGGATTTTGCATCCTCAACTTTTACAAGTTAGGAATAGCTATGCGGCTTGCCTCAGTCAACGAAATGTGGGGAAGTGACCCATGTCTCTCTAGGCAAAGCCAGCATGTGATTCACCGTGTTCTCTTTTCCTTCTGCCAAGAGATCAGAGAATCAGTTCTCTGTCAGTATGAGTCCTGGAGAGAAGAAGACGTAGAGCAAAGCTGCAGATAAACCACAGAGGACACATAGCCTGAGTCAGAATTAAGCCTTTGTTGCTGTAAGCTTCTGTGATTCTGAGGTCATTTGTTATAACAGCGTACCTTGCCTCTTCTGGCGGATACTGAGTTTTATCTCAGAAGCCATATCTTTGCAGAATTTCCCCAAACTTGCTAAGATTGGGGCTGTTGCTTCTTTCATGTGATCCCACGACATTCCCTCATAGCTATCAGCACACGATGGTATAATTACTTTGCTGTCAGCTCCCCACCCCCCACCATTAGACTATGAATTCTGTGCAGGCAGGGAACTTGTTTGATTCATCTGTCAACCTTCCCTGGCCTTTGATAGGTATTCAATAAATACCTGATGAATGAAGGTACAGAAGATTAGTGTAAAGAGACCCTCTTCTGTGCCACCATCATGAACATCTTTGGTGGGATAGAGTCTAGTGAAAAGAGTGGCCATGTCCGTGTAAACACAGTGTTGTCAGAAGAGTCTCACACCATCTTGGAGAATGTGTACACCCACGTGAGATTAACTGCATGGCAAACCCTGATCGCAATTCTGTTCAGGAAACTGAACAAAGGGAGAAAATCTGGGGCAATGATAAATGATGAAGTATATTTGGAGTGTATGGGCAGCAAACCAAAACAAAAAATAGAAACAACCTATCAACTACATCTATTTAAGTTCACAATTTATACTCTGACAATGCAGGGTCATGTGTCCCAAGCCAGCAAATCGAACTCCTATTTCTTGCTGATTTGTTGTGCCCATCACAGGTATATATCTCCTGAGAAGCCCCCAAGCCTCACGGTCCATCTCTGTGTCCCTGCTCCGCTTTCTCTTAGGAGACTTGAGGAACTTTCAGGGCCTCACATCTGTTTCTCCATAGACTGAGAGGAACAGATCATCCAAACATCCAGTAGCAACCTACTTGGATTTTATCTCGTTGTTAAAACTAGCAGTGATCCTTTATATAGGAGAGGAGCCACAGTCTCAAATCATAGGCCTCATTTTTCACTTTGAATTTGTCTCAGGCCACTGGTGGGACACTGCAAAACCATGACCACGATGATGCTTCAGTTTTACAGATACTAGAATAGATCCATTCTTAAAAACAACAACAACAACAACAACAACAAAACAAACAAAAAAACCCAGCAAGTTTTCTCCTCCTCCCATGACAGAGTAGACTGAATTCATTTAAAAGTGACTCAGATTTACCAGGTGTAATGATAAGATGTGTGGGTTCTCTTTTCATCAATCGTTAGAATCAACAGGTTGGACCTGTGACAGTTTCTCAGCTCACAAAGAACGCTGAGCGTGATAGCTTTAAATGGGCCATTACCTTTTTTATATTTATCCCAAACTGTTAAGGTCAGCATTAAAATTTGACCTTTTCCCTGCCAACCCGTTTGAAGTAATTAACCCCTGTGTCTTGAAACACAAGGAAGCTATGACTTTGTTATTAAATTCTCATAAAGAGCCTATTAATATTAAAATTGCTTCACTCTTGGGCTGAATGTATTAACAGCCTTGCACTGGGTAAACACAAACCCTCAGCGCAGTGTTTTAAAATGCATGAGTTGAGGGCAGAGCATGCTTTTCCAGCTACCTCCTCTGTAGCAGAATGTTACGCCTTCTGTGACAATTTCCCCTCATATTTGTTCAAATGTTTCCATTTTAAATCTGTGTCCTTAGATTTACGTTTGTTTATAGGGAAACTCATTTTACTGCTAGCAATTTGGGAGCAGGTCCAGTGGAGCAGAACACCTATGAAGACCCCTGTTCCCATCACTCTTGTTGTTACTTCCCAGGACAGTGCTCAGACCCTGATCTTCTTGGTGGGGAGCACAGCTTGAGATTATTCATATAGGCAGGTCCAACATACCTGTGCATCACCTGCAGAGTGTGCTTAAAGAGGCAGATTTACACAACCCACCATAGACAGACTGAGTTAGAATTGGCAGAGAGGAGACATTCCCGACTCCGCTGTATAAACTAAATTCTCAAGGGGTTTGCTATAGTGACACCTACCAGAATTCAATTTGTTAATTCAGTCTTTCAAAATATGCATTGCACAGCTATTATATAATACAGAGATTGGGCTAAACCTTGGGGATACCATAGGAAATTAAAGAGCTAGGTACTTGTCCTTTTGGATCTTATAGTTCATTAGGGAAGTACACAATGAACAAGGAGAAAATAAATAATTAAAAATAGCAATAAGTGGACTTCTGCTTCCGGGAAGATGAAGTAGGCACACTTTTCCTGATTCCTTCTGCTGAATACAAATAAAATCCCTACACATTAACGTATAGATTCAAATAGCTGAGCAATTTCCAAACAGGGTAAATCCAAAGAAATCCACACCGAGACCTATCAGAGTCAAACTTCTAAAAAATGAAAGAAAAAAAAGAAAAGAAAAAAGAAGAAGAATCTTGAAAGTTGAGAGAAAAAGGAAACTATCTAGAGGGGAGAAGCAGTTTGAAGGCAGCAGATTTCTCCTCAGAAGCCTTGGAAGCACAGAGAAAATGGTGTGACACATTTCAAGTGCTGAAAGAAAATACTTGTTAGCTTGGACTTCTATTCTAGTGCAAATATCCTTCAGAAATGGAGGAGAAATCAAGGCATCAGTTGCTACCACACCTACCTTAAAAGAATGGCCCAAGAAAGTTCTCTAAAGAAAAAGGTAGTAATAAAAGGACTCTTAGAATATCAGGAGGGAAGATGACAAAAATAGGGATAAATTGCCACAAAAATCTAGTGTTTCCAAAATTATCGTGTATCGTTCAAGTCAGAATTGTAACATAGTCTGGTGTGGTTCCAAATGCATGTAGTAGAAATATTTACAATAATTATTTATTGTTTTTTATTATATTTATTATATATTTTATTATAAAAATATTTATAATAATAAATAGAAATATTTACAATAATATAAATGAGAGAAGGTAAAAGGAGGTAAGATTTCTGTGTTTCACACAATCTGCTAAAATGATTATAGGAGGTAGACTATGTAAGTTGTGTGTGTATAATGTATATCCAGAGCAACTGCTTAGAACAAACTGTAAGAAGAAATTTGCTCAAAAATACTGTAGACAGGGGTGCCAGGTGGCTCAGTGGGTTAAGCCTTTGCCTTTGGCTCAGGTCATGATCTCAGGGTCCTAGGATCGAGCCCCGCATCGGGCTCTCTGCTCAGCAGGGAGCCTGCTTCCTCCTCTCTGCCTGCCTCTCTGCCTACTTGTGATCTCTGGCTGTCAAATAAATAAACAAAATCTTTAAAGAAAAAAATACTGTAGATAAATTAAAAGGTATTAATAAAAATATGCAAGTAACTCAGAGGAAGGAAGAGACAAGAAAATGGAAAAAACAAAGAGATAACACAGGAAAAAAAAGAGGCAAAATTAAGCATTAATATAATAGTATTTACATTTAATGTAAATGGTCTACATATACCAATTAAATGAGAGATTGTTAAAATACATGACCCAACTATATGCTGTCTATAAGAAATTGCTTTCAAATTTAATTATATAGGTAGTTTGAAAGTAAAAGGACAGGAAAAGAGATACCATGCAAAACCAATCAAAAGAAAGTAGGAATAGCTATGTTAGTATCAGAGAGAGTGGACTGAAGAGCAAAGAAAATTACCAGAGACAGTAAGAGCCAGAATATAATGGTTATAATGAATATAGAAGTGTCAGTCCAACGGGGAACATAGCAATCCTAAATGTGCATACATTAAACAACAGAGCTGCAAAATATGTGAAGCAAAAAATTAAAGAACTAAAAGGAGAGATAGGAAAATCCACAATTAAAGTTGGGTACTTTAAACACCATTGCACTCCCAATTAAGAAAAAACTTAGACTGGGGCGCCTAGGTAGCTCAGATGGTTCAGGATCTGCCTTCAGTTCAGGTCATGATCTCGGGTTGTGGGATCGAACCCTGCATTGGGCTCCCAGCTCAGCGAGGAGTCTGATTCTCCCTCTCCCTCTCTCCCCTTGCTCATACTTTCTCTCTGTCTCTGTCATAAATAAATAAATAAATAAATAGAAAAACTTAGACTATAAATAAGGATAAAGAAGAACTCAACTACCTTTAATCAGCAGTGTCTATCCAGCATTATAGAACGTTCCATCCACCAACACCAGAATACATGTTCTGAAGTGTCCGTTAGATATATAAGACAGACCATATGCTGGACCACGAAACAAACTTCAACAAATTTAAAATAATTGAAATCATGCAAAGTGGTTTATCTGACCACAGTGGAATCAAATTAGTAATCAGTAACAGGAATATAATAGGAAAATCTCCAAGCACCTGGAAACTGAACAATACACTTCTAAAAAATTTATGGGCTTAGTGGTGCCTGAGTGGCTCAGTGGGTTAAGTCTCTGCCTTCCGCTCAGGTCATGATCTCAGGGTCCTGGGATGGAGCCCCACATCGGGTTCTCTGCTCAGCAGGGAGCTTGCTTCCACCTCTCTCTTTGCCTGCCTCTCTGCCCACTTGTGATCTCTCGCTCTCTCTCTGTTAAATAAATAAATAAAATCTTAAAAAAACAAAAAGAAAAAAACTTTATGGGCTAAAGAGGAAGTCTCCAGGTAAATAAATAATTACAATGAACTGGATAAAAATCCAAATATAACCTGATAACTTGTGGGACACGGCTAAACTAGTGCTGAGAGGGAAATTTATAGCAGTAAATGATTACATTGGAAAAGAAGAAAAGCCTTAAATCGATAGTTTAAGCTCCCACTCAGAACCTAGAAAAAGAACAGCAAAATCAACCCAGAGCAAATAAAGAAGAAAATAATAAAGATAAGAGCAGAAAGCAATGAAATTGAAAACAGTAACATGATAAAGGAAAATCAATAAAATGAAGAACCAGCTCCTTGAAAAGATCAATAAAATCGATCTAGGAAATTGACAAAGGAAAAAGAGCAGGCACAAATTATCGATATCAAGATTGGTACTGAGACTATCGCTACAGACCCTGCAGATGTCAAAAAGGGTAATCAGAGAATGCTGTGAACAACTTGGAGCAACTCTACATGCATTCGTTTTACAACTTACATGAAATGGACCACTTTCTTGTAAAACACAAACTTCCGTAATCCACTTATTATGAAATAGATATTTTCAATGTTTCTGTAACCATTAAGGATGTAAAATTAATAATTTTAAAACTAAAAAAAAAAAAGCATCTCCAGACCCAGATGTTTTTATCAGAGAAGTCTACTAAATGTTTAAAGAAGAATTAACACCACTTATATGTAATCTCTTCTAGGAATCAGAAAGGAACACATTCTAATTCATTTTATGAAGCTGGTATTACTCAGATACCCAAATCATACAAAGTCAGTCCAAAAAAAAAAAAAAAGAAAAAAGAAAACTGTAGACCGATATCCTCCATGGCCATAGACAATAAAAACATTTTTGGGGGTTCTGTAACAAATTATTTGCCAATAGAATTCAGCAGTATGAGAAAAGAATTACATACCTTGACCAAGTGGAATTTATTCTGTGAACAGAAGCCTGGTTCAGTATTCACAATTAAATCTGGATATTTAAAAGGTGTATTAAAAGGCTGAAGAGGAAAATCACTTGATCATATGAATCAATGTAGGAAAAAAAAATTTGATAAACATTAATGGCTATTCATGACCAAAAAACTATCTGAAAAATAAGACATGGAAATTAAAAATACAATGTCATTTCTAGTGACTCAAAAAAGATACTTAGGTAAAAATTTAACAATATATGTATATGACTTATATTTTGAAAGCTATATGATGCTGATAAAGATAATTTTTAAAAACTTAAAGGAGATATTTACTATGTTCATGTATTGTAAAATGACACAGGAAAGATGAAAATTCTCCCCAAATTCATAAATAATTTTAATATGATACTTGTGAAAATTCTACGAAGAATTTTTGTTGACATAGACAAATTATTCTCAAACGATATGGAAAGGTGGTCAATTAAAATAGTTTTCAACTGTTTTGAAAAAAAAGTGTAATGTGGGAGAAATGAGTCTATATGACTTTAAGACATCGCTACAGAAATCAAGACTGCGGTGTTGGCGGAAGGATAGACACATAGGTCAATAAAACAGAATATAGAACTCAGAAACAGATCTACACAAATATGCCCCACTGATTTGACAAAGATAAAAAGGCAATTCAACGGAGGAATGATATTCTTTCAGTCCTTTCCCTGGGAAAGTTGGGAAACCAGTCCATCCTCAACCTAACTTTTACATCTTATACAAAACTGATTCAAAACTTTTCTGAACTTTAATGTAAAACATACAACTATAAAACTTATAGAAAAAAAAAAAAGAAGAGAAAATCTTTGATATTTTAAGCTAGGCAGAGTTCTTAGAATTGACAGCAAAAACACAATCCACAGAAGAACAAAAATGATAAATTGGGCTTCAATTTTTTTTTAAAACTATCTTTTTCTCGGGGTGCCTGGGTGGGTCAGTGGGTTAAAGCCTCTGCTTAAGGCTCAGGGTCAAGATCCAAGGTCCGGGGGTCCTGGGATGGAGCCCTGCCTCGGGCTCTTTCTGAGCAGGGAGCCTGCTTCCTCCTCTCTCTCTGCCTGCCTCTCTGCCTACTCTCTCTCTCTGTCAAATAAATAAAATCTTAAACAAACAAACAAAAACTATCTTTTTCTCTGCAAAATACCCTGTTAAGATGATGAAAAGACAAACTGTAGACTCGGAGAAAACTTTTCCAAAACATCAGTACATATAAAGAACCCTCAAAACTCAACAACAATAATAATAAAACAAACAAACAAACAAAAACCCGGTGAGGAAGTGGACAAAAGACACGGAGAGACATTTCACGGAAGAGAATATACAGATGGCGAGTAAGCACATGAAAAGATGTTCAACATCATTAACCATGAGGGAAATACAGATTAAAAGTGTAAGGTGAGATCAGTGCACACCTGTCAGAATGGCTAACATAAAAAGTAGTGAATGCCAGTACTGGCAAGGCTGTGGAACAGTTGAATTGTGCATCCATGCAGTGCTAGGAAGAATGTAAAATGGCAAAGCCACTTTGGTAAATAGTTTTAATTTCTTTAAAAACTAAGCATGCGGGCACCGTACAAACTAGCGCTTATCCTCCTGGGTATTTATCGAAGAGAAATGAAAACTTGTGTTCTCACTAAACCTGTACACAGATTTTTGATTCAAAACAGAAACAACCCAGATAGGCTTTGAGCGGGTGAATGGTTACATGGCAGTGTATGGTTGTTATATATGTATGTGTGTGTGTGTGTGTGTGTGTGTGTGTGTGTGTGTGTGTATCCATACTGTGGAATACTACTCAGCCAGAAAGAAAAAAGAATCACTTGATGCATGCATCAACCTGTTGAATGTAAAAAAAATTCAATCCCACAAAGTTGCATATAGTATGGTAAAATTTATATAGATTTCTCGAGATTTTGAAATTGTAGAAATGGAAAATGGAGTTTTCATTGCCAGGGGTTAAGGAGAGGGTGGGAGCAGGAGGGGAGTGGGTATGGTTGTGAAAAGGGCAGCCTGAGGAATCCTCGTGTGGGTGGAAGGGTGCCGGTCTTGATTGTATTGATATTATTATAGTACATTGTCTCGATATTGCAACCTCCCCATAGGCGGAAACCAGGTAAGGGGCACATGGCTCTCTGTTTATTTCTTACAACTGCATGTGAATCTACAATTATCTTAAAAAGGTTAACTGAAGGGCACCTGGGTGGCTCAGGTCATGATCTCAGGTGCCTGGGGATTGAGCCCCATACTGGGCTCTCTGCTCAGCAGGGAGGCTGCTTCTCCCCTTTCTCTGCCTGCCTCTCTGCCTACTTGTGATCTCTCTCTCTCTGTCAAATAAATAAATAAAATCTTAAAAAAAAGAGAGAGAGATTAACTGAAAAAATATCAAGTTAAAGATAATAAATGCTACAAAGGGAATGAACAGATGGGGAATAACTAGACAGGTAGATAGGGATGTTCAGAGAATGCCTATTTGAGGAGGTGGCATTTAAATTAATTTACAAATGTTGAGAACCAGCTTTGTAGAGCAGGAGTGCATACCAGACAGACCGAAACACTCAAGAGACCCTGTGTTGTGAAACTCTTCGCTGAGAGGTGTTCTATCCCTCTGGTTTAGAGGGCAAATGGGATATGCAGCCTTGCTCCAACAGAGTGCCCTGTTCATGTCCGCTGCAGTGAGGGCCACGCTGTCTTAGCACTCTTATCCAGTGTACCACAGTCCAAGTGTGTTCACACACCTACATCCATGGATTATTTTTTTTTTAAAGATTTCATTTATTTATTTGACAGAGATCACAAGTAGGCAGAGAGGCAGAGAGAGAGAGAGGAGAAAGCAGGCTCCCTGCTGAGCAGAGAGCCTGATGTGGGGCTCGATCCCAGGACCCTGGGATCATGAGCTGAGCTGAAGGCAGAGGCTTTAACCCACTGAGCCACCCAGGCGCCCCTCCATGGATTATTTTAGTCAAGCTTCAGGAGTTGTAATAGTGTCCTTCAATCAGCAAACATTTATCGAACACTTTACTTTAATAGTGACTGCCGATAATTATGCAGTGCTTCTCACAGAGTTTTGTCACACACCCTCACCGGAGTCTCAAAACTACGCTGTGGAATAGGAAGTAGTAACACCTTTGCTCTCCTTTTGTAACAGGTGAAAGATTTACGCGATCTGAAGAGAAACCAGAGTATTTTGCTTTCCTTTTGCAT